CTCATTTCTTCCACCTATCTCTCCATAATTTCACCAAAACCTACCACACACACACACACACACACACACACACACACACACACACACACACACAGACCTGTATGCATGTCTGAGGAACAAGCCTCTATCAGGCCTGCAGAAGTTTTCTCGTCAAAGTTTGTCTCTCCCTCCAGTTTCCAGGCTCGTATTAACGGCTGCATGCGTCAGATGGCTGAGCTCCTCTACCAGATCAAAGGCCCCCCCAACCACAACACTGCAGAGGCAGACGCTGACAACATGCTGAGGCCCCTCATGGAGTTCCTGGATGGGAAGTAAGTGAGAGTGTGACACACACAGTGACTCCAGCTGCTAGAAGAAGCTATACACAGGATCAGATCTCTACTATACTTGGTTTGTTAAAGCACCAATAAGAGGTTAACTTTCCTTAGAACCTCTAACTCGAACAAACTCAAACAAGCAGGTGATCTGACCCAATGTTTTTCTGCAATGGAGGTTTTTCTTTTATTTGGGTTTGGTAAAGAATGGTAAATGGACTGCATTCATATGGCGCTTTATCAAGTCTTTACGACCCCTGAAAGCGCTTTAAAGAGCCTGTGACACGATTTTCCCCCATCATCCAAACCCATCAATTTGAGTAAATATTGTCCCCTTGAAAACCGTTACCGAACTGATTTTGGATATTTGTACTTTGATAACCATTAATCTGCCCTTCAATGTTGACCATTTCCTGGATCTTCTCGGGGATTCTTCAAGTCCCGCCAAATTATGGGTGACGTCAATGCGGGCACAGCGCTCCAGCTGCACCGTTCAGGATCCCAGCATCTGCATGTAAACGCACGATGGTGCACACAGCCTGTGTGCACCATCGTGCGTTTACATGCAGATGCTGGGATCCTGAACGGTGCAGCTGGAGCGCTGTGCCCGCATTGACGTCACCCATAATTTGGCGGGANGTATGACATTTTTGTTTTTTTAATTGCATTACAGAAAATAAAGAACTTTATCACAATATTCTAATTTTCTGAGACAGTCCTGTATGTCTTAATTATAAGTATTTTTTCGAGTCCAAAAAGGAACTTGTCGCTGCAACCTTCATGTTTGTGCTAGACTTTGATGATTGAAATATGAATGCATCTTCTAAATGCCTATGCTCTGTGGATACTGTCTAACATGGGGCACTAAGATTTATCAAAACACTTTAGTTTACGCACCATTGCTCCTTGTATGCTCGGGTTGGATGGTCTGCCCTGACCACCTGTAGTCTAAACTATTAGCATATCCTCACTTATAAGGCTATTATTGGTGTTCTATCATGTAATCTACGGATTTATATACTTATGAAAAATACACAAATTCATTGGCTTTCAATGAGGACTTGTTTTTACTAACTGTCCCAAAAGTCGACACTGAGCTGTTGAAAAGAGCGTTTGGTTATGCGGCTCCATTTGCAGATTTAAAGTGCTTCTTAATGACCGACAAGCAGGCAGCTCTCTCTGAAGATGCTTTGTATGATGTGGTTTCTGATGGTGACTATGATATGTTCACTGTTCTAGTTTTAATTTGTTTCTGTAACTGTGCTGCTGCATATCTTGGCCATGACTCTCTTGTAAAATGGTTTAATCTCAATGAGACTATACTCCTGGTTGAATACAAGTTGAATACAAAATAAACAACAGCCACCTCTAACTTAGTGCATTTTGCTTCATTAGACAAGACATGTTGCTTTAAGTTCTCTGATATTTGATGGACGAAGAAATGCATTTAAAAAGTACTGGCTAGTATGACATCGTTGTATCACATGGTTCAATGCGTGTTTCCCTTTTGAAATATATGTTTTTTTGTTATCAGGTTCAATTGTACCCTTTGGGGTTAATGAGAAAAACACTGTTTCCACCATTTTAAGGAAAATGGGGTTCAATCTATGCCACGCGTGACAAGTTTGCCATTTTATGTGTTGCCTTCCATGCTTGAAAAGCATTTGAAAAGTTCAAAACATTCTCTGGTCTGAAAAAAAAAATCTCCAGTCACTTTATATCCTGCTGTGGGCCATACCAGTGTATGTCGTTAACATCACACCTTTCCCACACATTGACCAAGAAAGCCTGGTTAGAACCCCTCGTTGATAAGTAACACCTGGAAAATGTCCCTTGTTATTAAACCCCCCAAAAAGCCGCATCGAATTTTGACGTTTGACCTCGAATTATACAAAAAAACGCTATCTAGTGGCCGCATGTTGACTTGAAAAACTCTCAGGACTCCATGCCAGATGATGAAGAACCACTGATGGAGGACCAGTGTTAGGTGTGTGTGTGTGTGTTTATCTGTTATTGCTCACCTGTTTTGCTCCCATCGACTCGAACATCTTCTCCAACAGGACCCTCATCTGCTGGATGTTGTTCATCAGCACACAGGGCTGGAGTAAGATAGATGAGGGAGATAACAGGTGTAACAAAAAGATGGAGACAGAAAGTCAAGAAGGCAAAGAAAGTAAAAAAACAAACATGAAAGTCATGAACAGACAGGAAGAAGAAATAAGCCAACAAAGAGGAAACAAAGGCGTTCAAGAGTTACAGAAGTGGGCAGCAGCATATAAAGTATGAATACACTCATAGAGAGTGCTTTATCTCTAGTGCTAAGTCTCTCTCTCTATCAAGATGAGCTCTGAATGAGGAGGTTTGGTATCAGACCATGCAGCAGTACTCTACTCACTATCTTTTCCTTCTCACAGTAGGAGGGAAAGCTCTTGGCCAGCACGACACAGTACTGCAGCAACACTTTGGTGATCGTCTGTGGAACAAGATAACACAGGAAGAACATGTTTACTCTGGGAACTTCTGGATTGTTGAATCTGAACACCGGTATTTACGTCTAGTTTCATTTGTTTGGTCAGATACGAAGGAAGGAAGAAGTTGCAGTCTTCATTATGCGTGGTGATTTGGTTGGCGGATGTAGGTTGGTAAAATAAAACTGTTCCTACATGAAAATGCTTATAACAACGTCTGTAGATCAGGTTCAGTAAGAGAGTCAAGATATAATTAAAGAGACATTAATGTATTTATTTAAACGTAGTTTTTGGGTCAATTTGGCCCCACAAGTGGCATCAAGTTCCGTTATATTTCAAGGAAAGGCAGACTTCTCTACAGCTGATACCTCCCACACTCAGCAACTCACATTAAAGCACTGTAGATGAAAAGCAACACAGGTAAGAAGGAAATATATGTTTTTCTTTCTTTGGGAAGAACAGTCTAACCCTAACCCTAAGTTCTGAGTATTTCCATTTAATGCTACTCTGTACTTCAACTTCACTTAATTTTACACGATTCAAATATTGTACCTTTTCACTTTTTTTGTTGGTTGAGTTACTTTGCAGATGTATTTTATTAATTTGAATTATAAATCAATGAGAATTCAACAGAACAAATCAAACAAATGAGTCAAAGTAAGCAGGAAGTCCAGTGTGTCTAGCCAAATTAAAAGTAAAGAAACTGGAGTTGTTTTGAGTGACAGTGTGAGTCCCACTGTCATCCTGCCTGATGACAGACAGCATTATGTTTATTTGGCAACATATCCTCAGTTTTATGTGATCGTTTTTGTTTTTACAAAGAACTTCCTGCCAATCAGAGTCTGTACGCGGCACTCAAGGGAGATTTTATCTCTCCTCCTGATGAGCAGTTTCTCCGGACAGTGGCTGCATCTCACTTTGGTTAAATGGATTCCTTGCGTCCCTCACTTGCGTCGTTTCCCTGCGTTTAGTCCCTCCCACTAGGGAAGCATGGAGAGATGCAAGGAAACCACGAGAAGCAGGGAAATTAGTTTTTTAAGAGCAATGGGACGTCGTTTCCTCCGGAGCGTCACCTGAAGCGACGTCCGTTTGTGACGAAGCCGCACAGCTGATCGTCTGACAGCAGCCAGATCAGTGCATGCGCTGCATCGTCCAATCAGTGAGCGATACACAGTAAGGGGGCGGGGCGAGTGTCTGAGGATTTCACCGGAGGATGGTCTGGTAGTTCCTCGGTTATTGCTCCTCCGTTATCACTCCTCGATCCTCCGGCAAAAATAAGGCCACTAGGACGCTACTCAAGATGGCGCAGACAAATCAACTTCCGGTGATACAGAGCCAGAGGAGCGACGAAATTAAAAATAACCGAAGTGAGAACCACCCATGGTTCTCTCATTTGGTTCAGCCATGTTGGTGCATTCATGAGCTTTAATTCCTTTTTTGGAAACAACGTTGATGCTTCGAAGAGTATGTTTTGTATTGAATTTCTCAGAGCGTTCCAACACCCATACTTAACCTTTTCACAAACTTCCATTAAAATTGGACCGGTAGTTTTTACTAAATCCTGACAGACAAAAAGTCAAACCAAGCCGAAGACATATCTTACATATTTCAAACTATTCCATGAAAAAGTGTATGCAAAAGTTCAATGTGGTTATGAAATCCATTATTTAGTTCTTCAGGATACACACAAAGTATTTTGGTGAGAAACAATTCATTTCGTGATTGTTTACAAACCACAGGGTACTAAATAAACCAGCGGGTTATTTATTGGTTGTGATGGTTACTTGGGGACAGGAAATTACAAAAAAGTGTTGCTGTGACTTCACAGCATCTCCAGATCGCTGTGAGAGATTTCCCTACTTTCCGCTGGGTCAGCCAGTTGGCCCACTTACATTCATGCATTAAACATGTGGCCTGATGGCTGTCTGCTTTATTTCCTCTCGTTGTACAGCTTGTCCCCCCCTTTATTTATTTTCTGCCACTGTCTGTCTTTGAGTGTCATCTCATACTTTTCTAAAATGAACTATGCTGGCATGGTGGCAGGGGGATTTTTTTGAATTGTAAGGTGGCCTACGCGTTACAAAGGCCCAACACATTTCCATTAGGAGAAACGTGCTGCAGTTTCGAAAATGATGCAAATAAAAAAACATAAAAGATCCAAAACATCTTCACCAACTTGAAGAAACATGCATAGCGTTCATTAAAAGTGCTGCATAAACATTCAATGAAAATAGAAAACGCTGCAAGAAGCTCAAAACACATCTGATATTATTGCAGATAAGCTAGCTAGTTAACGTAGCTAACCTAGTCATTTCAAATATACTGATAAAAACACTTCAAAACAGTGAGAGTGTTTTTATTTGCATAGTTTTAGAAACCTCCGCGCATTTCACCTAATGGAAATGTTTTGGGCCGTTGTAGCGCTTTGCACATGTCGACCACCGTAGAATATAGATGGAAAATGTGACAGCAAAATAAAGACGGGATGAAGGGACGAGAGGATGGTAGAAGAGCAGATGACAAACTAAA